GTGGCCGCCGCGCCCCGCCGCCTGCCCGGCGAGTCTCCGCGCGCCGGCTCGGTTGGTGGCGGTGGGTTCCTGTGCGCGCTTGTCTTCTTCGCCTGCTAAGAGGGCCGCTTCTCCTCTGCGAGGGCTGCGGCGAGGGGACGCGCTCCCGCCCCTGTGCGCGCTCCGGGGCGTCCTCTGCGGTGCGCGCGCCGGCGGCCGCCCCTGAGGTCCGGATTCCGGTCGTGAGAAGGCACAGCGCCGAGGTGCGGGTCTCGCGACTGCTCACGCTTTGCCTGTAACGATCTGGGCGTCCTCACGACGCACCCCCTGCACAGGGAGGAAGACAGACCCATGTAGTGCGTCTAAGTCTTGGACCCCTTTTGAGTTCCTTTTTATGTGGTGTGGGGGAAGGATGCAACTTCCTGCTTTTGCGCGTGGATCGTCAGTTTTCCCAACACCCCCTGTGGAAGAGACTGTCCTTGCCCCACTGGGTTGTCTTGGCGCCTTGTCAACAATCGTTTGAGCGTGTGTGCAAGGTTTGCTCCTGGCCTCTGCTGTGTCCGGTTGGGCCAGGTCGGCCGTATGCCAGCCAGCACCACGTGGTTTCCATTATTCTAACAAACTTGGAAATCAGTAAGTGGGAGTCCTCTAGCTTCGTTCTTCTTTTTCAAGATTTTTTTTTTTTTTTGGCTATTCAGGGCCCCTTGAGATTGCATATTAATTTTAGGATGGGTTCTTCTGTTTCTCTAAAAAATGTCATTGGGATGTTTAAAAGGATTGCATGGAATTGTTATGCAACACATACCCAGGTTCTTAACCTGCCACACAAGAGGGGCCAAATAAAAATCAGAACACCAGGTTTATGGCAAGGAAAGAGTTTTTATTTCGAGTGACGGCAGCCAGGAGATGAGAGCTCTGAAATTTGTCCCGTCTCCCCGAAAGATGAGAGGCCAGGGGTTTTAAAGGTTGTGAGGGAGAGCATGTGCTGGGGTTTTAGGTGGGGTAGGGGGAGCATGTGGACGTGCTGGCTGGCACGTTCCCACCAGCTTGCATTTGCCCCTGAAGACTGATTTTTTTCCCTTGACTGTCTGGACTTTGGTTAGTTTTCATCTTCAGCCTGCGTTTGGCCTTGTGAGGCTGAATCTTGATGTCTGGACCTTTACCTCCTGGAAAAGACAGCTCACTCATATACGAAGGAGGGACAGAAAGACCTGGTTAGTTTTAAACAACAGTTGATTATGCTGAATATGCACAGCCGCAGTTAGCAAAGCTTATCTCAAAGTTTTTGCTGTCTTCTAGCCCAGGGAAGGTTTTTTAACCTCTTGCTCGGTTTCAATCTCCACTGTCTTGTAATCATTCCTCAGTCTTAGGGAATGGGGGTGAAGACTGCTCTAGCTACTTCCTGCTGTAAAAAGGGCGAAGATCAGGATCAAAGGAATGAAACTGTTTTACCTTAATTTTAAACTATTTTGGGGTACCAGGTGAGGAGAGCGAGATATGCTTTGCATGACTAATATTTTAGTACTCTGATCAATGGCTTTGGAACAACACTTAAGTTCACATTTTACAATTGCATAGATGACTACACATACTAGCAAAATAGACAGCCCAAATTTTAGTATCCCCTCCATAATGGACCTCAGTCCTTGGAGAATCTAGGAAAAGAGGCCTGTAAACCAAAGTTGGCGCCTAGAACCTCAAGTGAAATCTGATGTAGCTAAGTAGCCTGCTGTCTATAGTCCAACAAACAAGTCACCCAAGGTTTGGGTGATTCCAGTTGTGATGTTTTTCTATGGCATGGTTCATGTTCCCTGTGACATTTCTCGTATGGTCCTATCCAGCAGGGATGAAGTCAGGATTTCAATAGGACCCAGTCTCCATGACAAAGTCTCCAATGTTCATAAGGGGTATTGCTGTATAGTGTTCTTTTCTTGTAATGTCTTTGTCTGTCCTTGGTGTCAGGATACTGCTGCCTTCATAGAATGAGTTAGGAAGTATTCCCTCCTCTTCAATTTTTTGGAAAAATTTGAGAAGGATTGGTATTAGTTCTTCTTTAAATGTCTGGTAGAATTCACCAGTGAAGCCATCAGGTCCAAGGCTTTTCATGATTAGGAGATTTTTTAATTACTGATTCAATCTTCTTACTAGTTATAGATGTATGCAGGTTTTCTATTTCTTCATGATGTAGTCTTGGTAGGTTTTGTGTTTCTAGGAATTTGTCCATTTCATCTAGGTTATCCAATTTGTTGGTGTATATTTGTTCATAGTATTCAGATTTACTTTTTACTTTACATTTTTCATTTTAATTTTGTGTGTGTGAGGAAGATCAGCCCTGTGCTAACATCTGCCAATCCTCCTATTTTTTTTCCTAAGGAAGACTGGCCCTGGGCTAACATCCATGCCCATCCTCCTCCACTTTATATGGGACGCCGCCACAGCATGGCTTGACAAGCGGTGTGTCAGTGCGCGCCCGGGATCCAAACCGGCCAACCCCGCGCCGCCGCAGCGGAGCGTGCACACTCAACTGCTTGCACCACCGGGCCCTCCCCCATGATTTTAATTTTTTAAGAGAATACAATATTTCAACTTTTATAATAGAAATAAAGATGTTTTTACTTCCTTCTCTCAAAAATGATCCCAAAGCAACAAAGGAACACAGAATTCATATCCCACCTTCAATTAAACTAGGAGACATATGAAGACAGCAGGCAAAAATAGGAATAATAAATTTAGCAGAATAAAGGAAGCTGAGATCTAAGTGCTTGCAATGGAAGATACAAACAAGTAACAAGTCAATTTGCCTCCCAGAAATCCATGTAAGGCTCAGGAACTGGGGGCACCAGGTACAGAGGAAGGTATGAATGGGGGTGGGGAGAGGCAATACAGATCAAGAAACAGTGGAACTACTTGAAAACCTGTATAAGAAGTAGTTAGTACCCCAGCTTTCCACCCCCACTTTGCCTGGAGATAGGAGATATATATTCTCTGGAGAAACCGAATCTGAAATGTTCCAAATTTAGGGACATTAGGCAGGAGTGAAGTGGCAGACTGAAACCAGAGAGATTTAGTGAAAGTCTGGAGGCCAAATCAAGAGAGCCCCTTCCCCCAATTCTCTTTTCCCACCCAGTTCTAAAATGCTGCCTACCAGGCTTATATAGGAAGGAGTCTAGAGAAAACCTACCTCTTCACAGAAAAGAGCTAGAGTGACATTTGAGGTTTCCCAATGAAAAAGCTCCTTGGAAAATAATTGGCATGTCCTACCTACCTACACCCCAATAAGCTTGCAAAAGCTCCCCATCAGCTTTTTAGAAACTTTAACATATGCATGGATAGCCAAGGATCAACAGGCCTGTGAGGAATGCTTTCAACATGAAAAAAAGATACCCACCACCAGCAAGAAAACAAAACCGAAAAAACCTCAGAAGAAACCAGCAGTACAAGGAACAGAAGAAACTAATAACATCCTTAGAGAAATGAAAAAATATTGCATCCATGAAACAAGAACAGGATTATGAAAAAATAAAAAGAAACATTTTGGAAGTAAAAATATTAAGAATTTTAAAAACCTGTAGAAGTGAAGGAAATGTGGAAATAAAATTTTAAGCCTCATTTCCAATTTAACCTTGGTTTGAAAATGTAACTGGAGCTAGAGGTTACAAGCTTTAATTAGCCATTTCATGAGAAATTATAAAAACCATGGGAAAACAGATGTTCCAAGGAGTCAGGTACTCTGCTAACCATTAAATTTATTAGATGAATGAGAGGTTAATCCCAGCTGGCCTTAAGTTTAAGTTTATACTTAATATTATACCTATTTAAAATTTTACTTGTTTATATTTATCCTGTGTGTCTTATCATTATGACTGAGTTTCTAAGTGTGTTTGCTAAGAAGGACAAGTAGCGTTCTCATAATACTGAAAGGCTTGCTTTAATAGCTCCAAGGGCTGGTCTGAAACTTAAAGACTATGAATGGAGGTTATAGAAAATACCTTTATAAAAATCTTAATTGTAACACAAAAACAATTTTTTTTTGTTTTGTTTTTCTAAGTTCCAGGAATAATCAGAAAATGAGCATTTTAAAAACACCATTTATAACGGCATCAAAGAACAAGTACTTAGAAATAAATCTAACAAAAGATGTGCCACTCCTAGGTACTTACACAAGAGAAAAACATGTCTACAAAAAGATCTATATAAGAATATTTATGGTAGCTTTATTCAAAATTAGTCGAAATTTGGACTCCACCCAGTAGGAAAATGGATAGAAAATTATGGTATTAGCGCTGTGAGTGGGAGTGCAGAGGGGCTTAGGGAACTTGCTGGGGTGATGGAAATGCTGTATATTCATTTTCTGGGGTGGTTACACAGGTGTAGACATGGTCAATACTCAAGCTGAATACTTGAGATCTGTGTATTTTATCAAATGTAAATTATGCCTTAAAAATGTTAATTGTAGAAAACTGTGTTGACTCAAACTTATGAACTAAGTCCAAGGATGGTGGTTTTACCTGATGACTCACATTCTGTGACTTGATTCTGTAAATTTGTTGGTCAGAAACATCAAGCCTGTCTTGGCCTTCTCTTTACCGATTTTGTGACTAACAAAGTCACTTCTCAGAAGAAATAGACACTTGAATTTTTCTCCAATATAAGTCAAAATTGAGAAAATCTCCCCCCCAAAAGGA